TGCATCATCTCTTGCCATAGCCTCCAGATCTGCTTCCCTCCTTCTGCCTTTGCCCTGTGCCTCCCTGTGTAAGCCACAGGCCCCACCTTGGCCGCCACGTCCTCTGTCTACCATGCACCTCTCACTCTCCCCTTCACTCCACCAGGACAGAGGCTTTTCCCTTTTCTGTGCTGGGTCCTCCAGCCGTCAGATCCCGAGTTAGACAATGCAGTGCACCCCTTTTCTGTGTTGGCTACCAGGGAGCTCAGCACCTCATCTGAAGTGAATCACACTCCTTCTGTTGGCTTCCGTTTGTGAAGTCTCTCATCTCACTGTGGTTGTTGGGTTTGTTCTCTCTCGCAAGGTGGTTTTCTGGTTTCTGTGCCTCCTTGCAGGCTGCCTCTGCTGGCGTGCGAGGGCGTAATTGTAATCTGGTTTTTGTGCTGTCAGCTCATTGGGTGTCCCTCACGCTCCTTGTACAAGACATTGTAGACAGCACAGCTATTGATGGCGTTCGTGGAAAAGCACTCGGTAGAGGTGACAGGGCTACTTCTAGTGCTCAGGGGGGAACCTGCGATAGATATTCCAAGACCTAGACTCTAGCGGTTTCTAGAATGTTCTGAGAATGATGTTAGCAGCGAGCAGCTGGGTCAGACAGATAAAGCGCTTCTCCTCCCTGTCTACAGCACCCCAAGGGTGCCATTGTGCAGGTGGTGGATGGGCCTGGGCAGGTCCCTGGAGTCAGAGCCCTCTCAGGCTTCTCGCTAGAGAGCTGGGAACTGTGTCAACACCAAGGACCCTAAGTCACTGCCCCCTCCTCCCCCAACCAGGACCTGTGGCCTCCCAGGTTCCACCAGGGTCTCCTGATCCAAAGATGCCAAACCTCTTGAAATGATTCCTGGGTAAAATTTCGAAGTCAAAGCTAGGAACTCATGAGTCGTGAGTAAGTTGGATATGACCTGCAGAATTTTAAAACAATGGGGTTTGGGTGTTCTTTGGGCTGGGGGAGCTCTCTCCAGCGTCCAGACAGCCCAGAGTGGATTGACTTAGGATTAATGACCATGACCTACTAACGTGGCCTGCCTGAGGCAGGTGCGTGGCGAATGTCCAGAGTCGACAGAAGACAGCTGCTAAGTCCCCACCTCCTCCATCCTGCTCTGTCGCACGCACACAGCCCTATAGGAACAGCTTGGGACAGATTCTCCCAGCCCAATCCACACTTCCCAGTCAGGAAAACCGAGGCCAGAGACACTGAGAAGTATCTCCCAGGCCCTCTGTTCAGGCCACGCCACTCTCGAGGCTGTAAGGGATTTTTATGAACGTTTTGGACTTGGTTTTCACTGCTTTGCCCCCTCATGAAAGGAAACTTTTTTGCTGTGTTTCGCCTAAACTACACAAACTGTTGTAGCAACGTTCCCGGAACGCCACATGGAAGAAGGAAAGAACTCAGCCCCAGCCCGGCCGGCCTGGCCAGAAGTCATGCAGAGCGCGCGGCTCTGAGCCGTCTCTGTCCGCAAATGTAGATCATCTTGCATATTTCCAAGCACAAGGAACGTCTCCTTCCAAGGAGGCCAGCGGGCCATAAAAAGTCGGCGGCAAAGGCGGGCCTCGTCTGGCCAGGGAGGTGCGGCTGGAGACCTGGCCTGTGCAGGAAGCCTTGTTTGGTGGTGTTAAAGCCTCCTTGTGTGTCCTCCTTGCCCCCTCCTCCCTGGCTCCAGTCCCAGCAGCCAGCGCCCTGAGGTTGGCTGAGGGCTCAGTGGCCCTGCCTGCTGCTTTCTGGCCTCAAAGCAGGTCTCTGTGGGGTTGCCAGGGCGTCAGGGCAGGGGCTGGGACCCAGCACAACGTTTTCTTGTCTGGTCCTTGAACATCACCAGACTGGGTACCTGGGGCAGACGTGGCTACAGGCAGGCCTTTGAGCTGGGAGCCAGACTGCCCAAGAGCCCTTGGCGCCGAGCCGCCGTGGCCGTGGCCCTGGGGGAACACCCTTCTCCCAGCTTCCCTGCTCAGCTCTGGTAAGCTGGGGCCTCTCCCAGGGGACCTGATTCTGTGCCCCATTTGGCACCCAGAATTCTGTTTCAGAAACGTCTCTGACCCATGAGCTTGTCCTGATTATCAGAGCCTTTTAGAGAGGCGGTATTTCACAGTAGCTTGGGGCTCAATGTCCTGAATTAGATGTCTACCCTGCCCCTTGTGGCCAAGTCACTTTAATCCCTCTGTGGCTCAGTTTTCTCATCTACAAAATGGGATAATAGTTAGGGTGTTGTGAAGATTAAATAGCAAGCGCGCGTGAACACACACACACACACACTCACTCATGCTTGGAAACCATGGAAACCAAAGAGTTCCCGGTGTTGTGTGACATTCAATGCTTGGTGGTCACATTGCAGGGCAGTGATAGAAGAGGACAGCGCTGGGGGAGGCTGGCCCAGGAACACAGAGCTCTCAGTGTGAGCTGGGCAACCCCGTGCACATCGGTCATTACTGGGCGGGGGCGGGGCGGGGGGGGGAGTTGAGAAAGGAATATACGGCGATGCAACAAGGCCTGGCGGCTGGTGGGCACTAGCTGAGTATGGGCTGTGATGACAACGACAAGGAGGAGGGAGGAAGGGGAGGGGGAGGAGGATGGAGTGGCTCAGGGCTGTACTGGAGGGATGCTGCTGGTTAACAGGAAGCACAGTGTCTGGGATCTCCAGGCCCTTCCCTTCCCCCAGGCTCCCTCCCACCTGGCCTGGGCTCAGGCACAGCTCACGAACGGCCCCCTTAGCATGCCTTGCTTACCTGGGTTTCCTGGTGCAGTGTCTCTACCTAGCAGGCCCCTCTGCCTCTCATCTGTCTGGCAAACGCACCTGTGCCCCCTTCCAACGCAGACCTTGCCTCTTCTCAGAAGCCTTCCAGAGCCCGTCTGACCCGTTCCTGCTGGTAGAGCATCCCTGGGAACCGGTTGCCCCCCTGGCCCCCTGTTCCAGGGAAGCTGAGAGGTTCTTTCTGCTGCCACCCCTGAGTCTGTCGCTGGGGGCGAGTCGGGTACGGCACAGGTACAGCAACTGTGCTGTAACAAACCCTCCAGGTGACTGTAGAGCCAGGGCTTCCACACGTCCGCCAGGGGCTCTGGTTAGAATGCGTGTTCTATTTGAGCCCCTCTGGGGTGGCCCCTGGGGTCTGCATTCCTAAGAAGCTCCTGAGTGAGGTGCTGGGCTCCTCCAGGCCGGGGTCCAGGTCTCTGGCTCCATCGGGACCTTTCCTGCTATGACCGAAAAAGGAGTGGCCGCCACGGTGTACGTGCAGCCAGGTGGTTATCCTGGACCGCCGCAGGGTGGACCTAATGTTATGTATTCGGGGCTGGAGAGAAGATGTGTATATGAAGGGGAGGAGGAGGCAGCCCACCTGTTGGCCTCCTGCCGTCCGGTTCCAGTGGTGTTGGAGAATGCAGCCATGGGGCGTGTGCCCCGTGACAGGGATGCTGTCGGTCTAAACCGGGAGCAAGGCTCACTCTTCCTTCCCTCCAGTAAAGCACTTACCTATCCTGCAAGCATGGTGGGCGACATAGGTGCAGCCCCGCCCTCCAGTCTGCTGGGGGCAGACGCCAGCCGCTGTGCAGGACTGCGCTGAGGGACTTGAGGTGAGAGTCCCAGGGGTCTGGTGCCTGTGTGGGCTTGGAGCTCAGGTAGCTCAGGGGCGTTTCCCCTGGAACGTGGCTCTGAGGCTGAAAGGTGGAAATGCAGACTGGGGGTTAATCTAGGAAGAGGAAGCCGCACGTGCAAAGGCCCTGGTGTGTGTGTGTGGGGGGTGCTAGTCCAAGAAGCAAGGGGGTGACAGTGGGGCTGGAGAAGAGGGATGGCACCCAAGGGAGACCTAGCAGTCAACCAAAGATTGGAGCTGGGACAGGAGGCAGAGGAAGCTGTTGAAAAAAAAAAGTCTCCAGCAGTTCCGTTGCAGCTGTTCCATTGGGGGGTTCCTGGGGCCCCCTCCCCCTGTGCTTTCTGCCTTTCACTTTCCCCCTAGGATGCTGCCCTCAGCTTCCTCCACGTGGTGAAGTTCAGATGCAGAAGGCCTGGGTTTTTCCAGCCTCTAAGCCCAGAAACGCAAGCACACATCTCAACTCCCTACCTCATAATCTTCTTGACTGCAGTGGCTCATCCAGCAAATAGGAGCATTAAAGCATTTGGGATGAGAAGTACTTCCCAAGACTCCCTTTGAAGGCAGAGGGCTGAGAGGCAGGTCGAGTGGCAGGGGCATTTGCTGCAGTATCCCCAGGAACTCTTCAAGGCTGGAGAAAAACTAGGTCCTCGGAAAACATGCCCTCTGGACAAGGCACGGCGCAAGCAGTGCACGCTGGCAATGGCCCGCTGTTTCAGGGAAGCTGAGAGGTGCATCCTGGAGAGAGCCTCCCGCGTCCCAAGTCCCTCTTGTGAGCTCTCTGGCTGGGGCGAGGTGGGGACCAGGCCTGCCCGGGCAGGGGGCTCAGCCTTGTTCCCCCCTGCACCCTCCATCCCTGATTTCTTCCAGCGAGGGTTTCCTGAGCCGGGGTCCCCCTGGGGATCAGTCACTATTCTAGACCAGTGGCTTTCAACTAGGGGTGACCTGGCAGTGCCCAGAGACACTTGCTGGCTGTCACATTCAGGGAGGAGGGGAGCTGCTGTACCCCAGGAGGGGAGCTGACCCAGCCCCCGGTGCCCACGGTCCTGAGCAGGTGGGGAAGAGCCTTATGCCTGTTGGAGCCTCTCTCCCAGCTTCTCGTGCTGTGTGCTCTGCAGATGTGCCTGGAGCTGTCTCTGTGTTGGATGCTTTTTCTGCTGCGGGCCTTCCTGCCTGCCTCCTTTCATGCTCGCATTTGTATGTTGAACCTCTGTTTCCATCAACCTGGGTTTACACGACGTCCACTGTTGTGCAAAGCTGGATGCTAAACACTCTTTGCATTTGACTCCCAGTCCTCATGGCAGAGTAGGCAGACGTGATTTTGCCCACAGAAAATGATCAATCTCATTTCTTTTTTTTTTTTTTTGACAGGCAGAGTGGACAGTGAGAGAGAGAGACAGAGAGAAAGGTCTTCCTTTGCCGTTGGTTCACCCTCCAATGGCTGCCGCAGCCGGCGTGCTGTGGCCGGCGCACTGCGCTGATCTGATGGCAAGAGCCAGGTGCTTCTCCTGGTCTCCCATGAGGGTGCAGGGCCCAAGTACTTGGGCCATCCTCCACTGCACTCCCGGGCCACAGCAGAGAGCTGGCCTGGAAGAGGGGCAACCGGGACAGAATCCCGCGCCTGGACCGGGACTAGAACCCGGTGTGCCGGCGCCGCAAGGCGAAGGATTAGCCTAGTGAGCCGCAGCGCCGGCCGAAATCTCATTTCTTGAGCATCTACCATATGCCAGGGATTGGACTGAATACTGACATCTAATCCTCATAGCAACTCTTGATTTAAATTAGGCTTTCCAGTCTCATTTATTCCCGTGTAGGAACTGCATCTTAAGAGACAAGTGGGGTCCTGGTCACGCCCTCATGCCCAGGAAGTGTGGAAGAAGCTGGGCTGTACATCTGTGGTGATCTTGGGTGAGGACTGGTGCTTTAGGACCGACCCAGCTTTCAGGGGTGCAAGCAGAGTGGCGGTCTTTGCCCCAAAACCATGCAAGAGGAAGGAAGGGAGAGGGGCTGTAGTAGTGCAACGCTAGCCTCCCTTGTCAGGGAGGGAGGTGAGCAGCAGAAGAATCCTACAGAGCGGGAAGCAACTCATTCCGTTCTGTGCCTGGAGCTGGGATCTGCCCCTCGCTTCCTCATCTCCGGTGCTTGCTGCAGCATCCCTCGCGACAGGTCTGGTTAACGTCGGCACACTGTGGGCATTTTCATCCGGATCACTCTTGGCTGCATACAGGGGAAGGGGCTGACCTGTGCATGGTGGGGTGTTTGGCAGCCTCCCTGGCCTCTACCCACCAGACACAGGGACCACCCTCGGCCTGGCCTTCGGGACAGCCAAAAATGTCCCCAAACTTTTCCATAGGTCACCAGGAGAAGGGGCAAAGTCCTCGCCCCTCGCCCTGATGGAGAACCACTGCTGTCAAGTGAGCAGCCTCACCCCAGTTTTGTGGAAAAGGAGGCAGAGGGAGAAGTTGGTCACCCATGGGGTAACAAGCAGCAGCCACCGAGGCTGAGCTCAGATCTCCTCGTCTGCCAGCCGACTGAGTGCTCGTGGACACCATCTTGGATCCGTGGATATGTCTGGAGGAATTGGATTTCCTTTTCAATGCTGCATGCCCTTGGCTTTGTGAGGGGATCTTCAAGCTCCCCCAGTCCTATTGGAGATTAGGAAGTGCCGACTGATTGGCTGGCGGCTGCACCAAGGCTGTACTCCTCCTACTGCATTGGCGAGCACCCAGAGAGGGAACCGATCCGAAACTCCTGGAGCACCCAACATCAAGACGTCACCGTGGCTCCTTTTGAACCTCTTCTGTGCAGACAGCAGCCGCTTTGCTGTCCCAGCAGAGGAAGGCTGAGTTTCTTTAGTCCTTCAGGGCCCACACCTAAGAGGCCATGCCTCGCCCTGCCGGGTGCTCTGTCCTGAGCAACTGCCCAGTTAAGTTCCATTTGTAGGCCCTGCCTCCCTAGGCCTGGAAGCACGCCAAGCCCTGATCAATCCCTCCTTTTATTCAGGCCAAAGTTACAAATAGGCCAGCGTCGTTGGAAAGATTTTCCTCCTGACTGTGTGGAGGAGCCCTTATGAAAGATGTATTGATGGATTCCCTGGTGCTGAGGTGTTACCGGCCTCAGAAAGGCAGGGAGAAGTCTTTGCTGGCTCTGCACAGAAACGAAACAAGACAAAAAAAACCTCGTTCAGGTCAAATTTCCTCTGTGCCCAAGCACATTTGATTTAAATCATTTTGCTGCAAAATAAATAAAATAGAGATGACTCCTGTAATGAAAAAGAGAAACACCCTGGTGATACAGTTTTGCCTTCCAGAAAATAGGGCATTAAAACTACTGGGTTCGTGTAACTCGCGGACTCCCAGCTCTCAGGCACTGGCCCTCGACTCAGGCAGCCTCCGTGGGTAACCGCAGTCCACTTACCTCCCAGGTTCAAGCCGTGTGACCTGGGGTGAGTCACTTTGCCTCTCGCTCCCTCAGACCCTGCCCCTGTAGAAGGAGGAGGCTGGAATAGATATTTCAATACCCTTCTGGCTTAGTGAATGTGGGATCATTCCAGACTTGGAAACCCCAAGTTAGCAGAAGGCTATATTTATGGGAAAACCACTGTCCCACCTACTGGAGGATTCTTGTTCTCACGAATGGGCCACCCTTCACATTGTAAGTATGCAAAGACGTATATTGAAAGGAGTTTTTAAAAAGATTCCGTTCATATCCAGTTTTCCCAGAGTCTGCCTGCAGCATGAAAGAGATACATTGAGGAGCAACGAGCTAAGCTGCTGCTTCCCCTGTGAGCACCGGTTCGAGTCCTGGCTGCTCCACTTCTGATCTGACTCCCTGCTAATGCACCTGGCAAAGCAGCAGCAGATGACCCAGGTCCTTGGATGCCTGCCACCCACGTGGGAGATCTGGATGGAGTTCTGGGCTCGTGGCTTCAGCCTGGCCCAGACCAGGCTGTTGCAGCCATTTGGGGAGTGAACCTGTGGATGGAAAAATCTTTCCTTCTTTCCCCCCTCTCTGTATCAACTCTGCTGTTCAAATAAATAAATCTTTTTAAAAAGAAAGAGAAATATATAGAGGGATTGCATCTGCCTGAGAGTTTTAGGTGTGAACATCAGTAGTATGTAGGGTGATAATGATTTGCTGCTCCAATTTTTGTTCTCTCTCTCTCTCTGTCTCACTCTCTTTCTCCATTTTCTTGCTTCTTTTCTCTCTCTCGACCGCTTCACATTTGATTTTTTTTAAAGGTTTATTTATTTATTTGAAAGAGTTACACAGAGAGAGTAGGAGAGGCAGAGAGAGAGAGAGAGAGAGAGAGAGAGAGGTCTTCCATCCGCTGGCTCACTCCCCAATTGGCCACAGTGGCTGGAGCTGAGCCTATCTGAAGCCAGAAGCAAGGAGCTTCTTCCCTGTCTCCCACATGGGTGCAGGGGCCCAAGGACTTGAGCCATCTTCCACTGCTTTCCCAGGCCACAGCAGAGAACTGGATCAGAAGAGGAGCAGCTGGGACTCGAAATGGTGCCCATATAGGATGCCGGCACTGCAGGCCGTAGTTTTACCTGCTGTGCCACAGTGCCGGCCCCCACATTCGAATTTTAAAAATATTTATTTTTATTATGTATTTGAAAGGCAGAATAACAGAGGGAGAAGGAGAGAAAGAGAGAGCCAGAGAGAGAGATCTTCCATCTGCTATTTCACTCTCTCTAGATGGTCACAATGGCAGGAGCTGGAGCAGGCGACAGCCAGGAGCCAGGAACTCCATTCAGGTCTTGACCTTGAGAGCTGGTCTGGGCTCTGCTCTCATCAATGGGTCAGCACATTCCCATGATTGATGAGTTATGTGGAGACCAGATTTGACCTGACAACCAGTGTGCTGAGGTCTACAGTTCACTCCCCATCTCCTGCCCCAGCACGGCACTCTGTTGGTAAGGAGACTACCGCCAGAGGCAACCCCTCGACCTTGAACCACAACGACAAAGCAATCCAAGCTTGCTTCCTTTATAACTTACCCATTCTGTGTCTGTGGTATTGTGTTGTTAGCCACAGAAGACGATAAGACCCCAGAAGGACATTTTTGGGGAAATCAGGTAGGAAAGGTAGTTGGATTATAACCCAGACTGGTCCTCATTTTGGACACTCGAACTTGAAAACAACTGACTTGCCGGCTGTCCCCGGTGGTGAGGACCCCAGGGCCTCTTGGCAGGGGCCTGGGGACAGCTGTGGAGGCGGTGCCTCCACCTTCGCACAGCAGGGGTCACTGGGAGGAGTGGGCAAAGGAAGCTTGACTCTCAGTGCCCCGTCAGCAGAGAGACATGGCCTTCCCGGTCGCTTCTGTGCCATCCAGAGCCCGCCGCCCTTTCTTGTCCGGGCTTGTGGTTGTGTTTGGTGAGTTTGCCAAGAAACTTGGCAAAGGATGCCACACACACAAGGCAGTGTGTGGATTTTATCAACCAAGCACACGATTGCATCATGCTCCTCTACTCTTGTCTGTACCCAGTTGGGGGATGGATAAACAGTTTCCTTTTCTTGACTGTCTTCAGGAGTGTTGTGAAAAGAGACACCTTCGGCTCACCTGTGCTCCCCTAGGGCAAGGCCATGGCTGGTACTAGTTTATCTGGTCCAGCAACTTTTATTACACAACTCATTTCTCCATTGGTTCTCAGAACTTTTAGGGGGAGGGGAAGATCTTACCTGTGGACTCATGGGGTTGTTGACAGGTGGAGCTTTTGGAGGCTTAAGGCAGGTTTAGAGCCAAGAGAGCCTGTCAGCCATTGCAAAGGAGCAGGGCTGAGGAGCCAGCGGAAATGAAACCTTAGGATCGCTTTGCCTCCCTCCCCTGCCTGGTGGCAATCTCATTACTGTTTTGTCACATCATGCTTATACTGTACAAATCATACTTGTAATCTTGTAAGTGTACAAATAACCACTTGTAATCTGATGGTCGCCTTGTGTTAGTACAGCTTTAGCAGACACATGGCCACAGATTCTCATCTTTGCACCTGCCCTTGCCTCTCCCTGCAGCATCTTGCTTCCAGTCCCAGCGCACTTGCTCCCTCGCCTGTCTTGGGTCATCTTCTGGGGATGATGCCAACTCAGCCGTTGCTTTGAAATTGAAAATTGCCACCATCCTCTCTTCCTCTTCTGAGGTTCTCTTCATAGCTGTTACCAACTGGCAGCTGCTGTGACCGTCGGTCTCTCCTTTTCCAACAGAAGCTTCTAGAGAACACAGCTTTAAGTCTTAGAATCCCACAAGAACACACACACATAAAGGCGCATGTGCACCTGTGCTCAGCTCACTACCCACAGGCCTCGTTTGCCTGGTTTCTACCCACCATGGATCACAAATTCTTGACAATGAAATTGCAACCATACTGAACATAGATGTACTTTTTTTGGTTATTTCTGAAATGACCCAACTAACAACTGTACATGGCATTTGCTGTATTAGGTCTCGTAAGCAAGCTAGAGGTGATTTCAAGTGTATGGGAAGGTGCACGTTGGTTCTGTATGACTGCTACATTATTGTACCTAAGAGGTTTAAGGACTTGTGGATTTTGGTATCTACTGGGGACCCTGGTTGTGTTCCAGGGTATCATGGATACTGAGAAGTGATGGAATGTATGCGTCTGAGAGTACTTTAAAAATTCATGGAAAATGAAATTATAATAAGTGTACTGTGGTGCAAAATTTAAAAAAAAATCCACGTATACAAGTGGTCTTCAAAAAGTTTATTTGTTGTGGTGTAGCAGATAAAGCCACTGTCTACAGCGCTGGCATCCCATATGGGCACGGGTTCAAGTCCCGGCCATTCTGCATCTGATCCAGCTCTCTGTCAGTGTGCCTGGGAAAGCAGAAGAAGCAGCAGAAGATGGCCCAAATGCTTGAGCCCCTGCTACACTCATGGGAGACCTAGAGGAAGCTCCTGACTCCTGGCTCCTGGCTTCAGCCTGCGTCCAGTGCTGGCTGTTGCAGCCATCTGGGGAGTGAACTAGCAAATAGAAGATCTCTCCCTCTCTCCTTGTAGCTCTGACTTTCAAATAAATATATAAATTTTTACTTAAAAGGTTCATTCAAAATGGATATTATGGCAGCAGACATTTGGTGTGGCATGTCGGACACTACTTTGGATGCCTCATGCCTGCATCCCATACTAGAGTGCTCTGTTCCCAATTCGTGCTTCCTGCTCATTGGCACCCCTGGTAGGCAGCATGCTGTGGCTCAAGTAGGTGGGTCCCTGCTACCTATGTGGGAGACCAGTACAGAATTCTTGGCTGCTGGCTTCGGACTGGCCCAGTTCTGGGAGGTGCAAGCATTTGGAGAATGAACCAGTAGAATGAGGGATCTCTGTCTATGGCTCTTTCTCCCTCTCGGTGTCTCTCTGCCTTTCAAAGACATAAATTTTTTTAAATTAGAAAATACCTATTATAGAAAAAATTACACATGGATTTGACAAATTTTTTTCCATCAAAAGAAACTTTATGTCCGAATTCCATTTTTGCATGAACTTTCCGAAGTGTCTTGCACACCCACATATGTTCATTGTTCTCATATATGTTTTGTTCATGCATCTCGAGTACCTACCACATAATTTGCTCTGAACAGATACAAATTAATAATTTATATTTACACACTGATTATTAGGAAAGCTCCAATTTCAGAAATGCTAAAATGTTGGGGAAAATAACACCCATCTGAAAATCAGGAAAGCATGGCCCAGTGGCCTGCAGAAAGCCAGCAGTATTTAGAACAGGATCCCACTGATCAAGTCACCCTGCCTGTTCCTGGAGTCAGAAAGAAAAGGCCGAGTGTATCTTAAAGACATGGGGTGAGGGGTGATGTGGTTCTTCCTCTCTCTCCCAGCCTTTGCAGAAGCAATAATAAAGCGAATAAGAAGTAATGCTTTTTTTCTCTCCCAGCTTCCTGTACCTTCTCCTATTTAATCCTCACAATGACTCTCTTATCATGCCAATTTTATAGACAGGAAAACTGGGGTCTCCAAAGGCTATCAACATTTCTCTTTGTTTATTTGAAAAATGTTTATCTACCCAGCAGTAAAATGCAACAGCCATGGTAAGAGCAGCTGAAACAGGTTGTGAAGGGACAGATAGTGAATGTTTGAGCCCTTGTAGTAGTCAGGGCTCTGTCACAACTGCTGCGGGACAGCAGCCATCAATGATACGTAAATGAACCAGGCTCCCTGTGTTCCCAAAAACTTTGTTTAGCAAAAGACACCAGAGGGCCAGCGAGGGCCCACAGCCTGCAGGAAGACAGGGCTACGGCCTGTCTGCTTCATGCTTGTATCCACTATAGGAGGCACAATGCTTTGTACGTGGTGGGTCTGGAATGAATGGCTGGGTGAATGGATGAACCAAGGAATCAGAGGGTGGTCTATCCGTAGAGACCACCGTGACTAAAGCTCCTGCTCTCCCTTTCCTTCCCCTTCCTCACAGATCCCACCATCCCCCGTCCCCCTGCTCCCCCTCCCTTACAGACCTTGGTGAGGCCCTAGGAAATGGAATTAAAAGATAGGTTTATTTTTGGTGCAAAAAAAAAAAAAAATCTGAAATCCATGTATACAGAAAGGTCATGAAAAATGTGGTTTTTGTAGAAAAAAGGTATGGATTTTGATTTTTTTTTTTTCACCAAAATAAGCCTATCTTTTAATTCCATTTCCCATGAATAGAAAACTTGCTCGCTCACTTTCTGAGTTCCTCTCCTGCTCACCCAGGCCTGGTCAGAGTGCAGCCCCCAACTTCCCCAGCCTGGTTCACTAGCCGCTGGGGCGTTGGGTGATCATAGCCCAAAAACCACCCCTTCTGGCAGTGGTAGTTTCTTCTGGAACCTCTTGGAACTTTGTGTGTTTGTTGATTCAACTCTTTACACCCCTCCCTGTTCCAGGAAGGGTTTATGGCTGTCTACAAGTGCATACAAATCAAAATAAGCTTGTGTAAATTAAAAATGAGGCAAAAGAAGGAAACGCAGCAGTGGGGCTCGTTGGAGTTGGTGTCGATGCTCAACCCCACCTTGAAGGCCTCGCTCCATGGGAACCAGATATTTAGCTCCAGGCTTTCTGGCCGCCAGCAGGAAAAACAAACCTGTGTCCTCCATCACCCTCTGTCCAAATACAGACCATGGCTCATCGCAGGCACATCTGCTCCTAGGGCTTGGGTCAGGAGGAAATTTCTGTACATCTTCTGTGTCATGCACACAGTAGCCGTGGGGAGGAGTTGGTGGCCGCCTGCTGTGATGTCTCCTGGGCCTTATTTGACATCCTGTGCTCTTGCACACAAAGGTGAGGATGCATTCCAGTGCCTGGCCTGGGCGACCCCGTGAAAACCTGACCATGCAGTGGCCTTCAAGCACTCTTTGAGCCTAAAGAGGAAGCTCTCATTCAGAGAGAGCAGGTGTGAAGGCTGGCTTAGCCCTTGATCTCTGTCTTAGTCCTCTCCTTTCTCCAAGCCTCCAGCTCCTCATCTGAGACACAGGGCCTGCTAGGAGCACTCAGCCGCCGGCCTCGTGGTGGGACTCAGCATTGTAACATCTGTCATCTCATGTGAGCCTTGCAGTAACATTGCAAAGTTAGTGTCATCCCCTATGCCTCATGCTGCTCTGAGTATTTTACATCAGTGTGACTCAGCCTTTTCTTTTTTTTATCATCACCCTCCTAAGGAGAAATGTTTAATTTAATTGAAATTCTCCCTAGTGAGAGAATTAAATGCTAAGGGAAAAGATGTTATCAAATAGGACTGAGTTTTTTGGGGGACACAAACCACTACAATAGCTATGATTTTTCTCACATGCACACACGCACACACACACGCTCCCCACTCCCATTTTTGCCGCTTTGGGACAGTTACTAACACCTCCATTGAGAATGCATGCATTAGCTGTACTTACTTCTCTGAAGAACCCAAGGCCCGGAGAGGAAAAGGAACCTGCCCGACATCACGCAGCTAGTGAGAAGGAGTCAGAATTAGGGATTGCTTCCAGGGGTGGAGAACCTTTTTTCTGCCAAGGGCCATTTGGATATTTATAACATCATTTGTGGGCCATACAAAATTATTAACTTGAAAATGAGCCTGCCATGGATTTATTGAACTTGGAGTCCCACCCGCGGTAGCCTTGGCAGGGCCAGACCACGTGATTTTGCTGGCCTTATACAGCCCGTGGGCTGGACGTGCCCCACCCCTGCCAGACTGTGCCTTTTGCCAGTCTCCTTAACTCACACAGACAAGCGTTCCCGTTGGCAGGTGTTCTGCTCTTTTCACTCCTCTGTGTGTGTCAGCGGTTGCTCTGTTTCTGAGTGTATCCCGTTGCCTGCATCCTTTTTGTAGCTGCGTTGTTTTCCATGGGAGTTGGCCCTGCATCATCGCTTTAACCAGGGCACAGCTCATCGGCCTGAGGTTATTTCCAGCCTTACGCAAGACTGCTGTAGCAGTCCTTCCCACACAAGTCATCATCCTACTGAAGTCAAGGCAGTGTGAGGGTCCCAGGCCCCGAAGTGGAAATCCCGTGCCCCTCCTAAAAGATAGCGCTTGTTGGGAGCCCAGAAGCCTCCGCATAGAGCTGAGTCTTACCTTGGGTTCCACTTTCCTGACTAAGCCGCTCTTTCCACCCCCACCCCTCCCCGCTCCAAGTTCTGCCTGACCTGGTCATGGACTCAGACGTGGATTCTCCATCCCCCAGCACACTTCATGCGTTTGGTCCCTGAATCATCCTCTTGTCTGGTGTCTGCCCATGAGGCTCCCCCCACCCAGTTTATTTTTGGACCTCAGTTCTCATCTCACTAACACAGAGTCTTGGCAGCTGGATCCCACTCCTGCTGCCTGGGTGTCTGCCTGCATGCAAACTTGTCCCTGGTGCTGGAAGCCCAGCAGGTGGGAGGGGAAGCAAGTGCTTCCTGGGTCGCTAGTCTTGTTGAAACTTTTCTTCTTGTTTTTTAAAATATGCATTTTCATTTTATCTGAAAGGGAGACAGCAGACAGAGCCTCCATCAGCGGGTTCACTCCCCCCTGAATGCCTGCAGCAGCCAAGGCTGTGCCAAGCAGAAGCTGCGAGGGACCCAGGGATTCAACCCAGGTCTCCCATGCGGGTGGCAGAGACCCTGGTTCTCACAGGGTGCTGCCTCCCAGGGTGTGCATTAGGGAAGCTGGAAACAGAAGCAGAGCGGGGCCCTGTCCCAGGCACTGCGCAGTATGTGATGCAGGTGTCCCATGCTGCATGTGAGTCACCAAACAGCATCTCATTCTGACTGAGCAGTCAGGGCTCTGTGATCTGAGCGGACCCCATTCATTATCCCCAGCCCTTGTCTCCTAGACCCCCTGGTGATGTTTCCGTGAGGGGTGCAGGCTCTGTCGAGTCCCATGTATGGCAACCTCAGCTGGAGCCACAAGGCAGAAGGGATGCTGGAAATTCACAAGGTGCCTCGGCACCTGTCTGTGGCAGTGCTGCCAGGGATTAAACCTGCTACATGGCTAGGATCATCAGAATAGTTAAACCTGGGGTGTTTGGCCCTGCTTTGTTCTGGAAGTTCCTTGAGGAAGAGCAGGTTAATGGGAAGGAGAGGGCTGAGGGGGTTGTGTGCGAACAGAATGTGTGGTGTATCTGCTTCCTGGGTGTGCGGTCTGGCCAGGGCTTACTGCTGCCCCATCTCTGTTCTCTGAACTATTTTCTCTGACTCAGGCTTGCTGGTGGCCAGGCCCTGGATTCAGTCATTGTGCAGAGTTACCCGTGCTTTCCCACTGTCTGAAGCACAGTAGGTTTGTGGAAATGGATTTAATGTATTCAGGCACTCACTCAGCAAACACCAGTTTCTTGGGTCAGGCGGGGTTTGTGGATCACTAAGAGATGCAACAAAGTAGCCTGCATTCTAGTTGGAGGAGAATGCAAATACCCGTGAGCAATTGTGAGGTGTGAACCATGAGGATTTGTGCAGGGAGATGTTTCCAGGCATCCAGAACAGCCTGTGCAAAATCCCTGGGGCAGGTCAGACCATTTCCATTGACCGTCAGTTAAAGGCCAAGAGGGAGCAATAGACCAGGAGGCCAGGAGAGCTGACTGTCCCAAGACCCCACAGCAGTTTCTTCAGGACTCTCAGCTCCCATCCTGGGGTGCCACAGAGACTGTGAGGGGCCTCAGGCACTGGGAAACGCTTCCTCCAACCTGACTCAACTTTCAAGTGCTCCGTGTGCCAGCTCTGTGGCTCCCGCTACTCTGCCCTCTGACTTGCAGCTTCTTGTGTGTGAAGTGGAACAGGCAGAGCTTCAGGCTGGCTATGGGGATCCGGTGCCATCCTGAGTTGTGCGGAGCATACTCCATTTGTGCAGGGAATGCTGGGGGTAGAACCCAGCTTCTCGGACCTCATGGGACAAAATACAGCCCCTGCCTACCCCATCAGCTCCAAAAGTAATACCGGTCCCTCTCCCACATGGGTATCATCTCACCTAAACCACAGTTTTTATTTCTTCGGACATTGCTTCGCAGGGGCCTCTGATTTCTTGGTGGAGACATTGGCCAAGAGGTGCCTTAAGGGGTGCACCTCGGTCTCCTTAGCTGTGAAATGGAGCGGTGATGGCTCTCCACATGGCAGCACTCAGGAGCAGTTGAACATTTTCTGTGTAAGATGGTGTTGTGGTCAGCTTATGGATGACAACACAATACCCGAGGCAGCAAAGGATGATTTAGCCCTGGGTTTTGGAGGTTCAAGTCCACGATTGGTTTGGCCTCTGGTAAGTGTGGTAGATGGTGGCACATCGTGGCAGAAGCCCATGGTGTGCAGGAGCTTACATCACTGAACAGGAAGGCAGGGAGGGACGCTGGGGCCCCACAGTGCCCTCCAAAGGCAGTGCCCCCAGTGACCCAAGGAGCCCCCCGACCAGCGCCCACCTCCCAAAGGCTCCACCATCCCCCCTTAGTGCCACCCTGGGGCCCAAGCCCTTCATTGTGTGATCATGCCCAATTCCTAGAAGCCAGAAAGCACGGAGCTGCAGGTGGCAAGATGGAAAATGAGTTTAATCCCGTCACATCCAGCATCCTCATGTTGACGGGAGGGCAGACCCTGAATCAGAGTGCTTGGGTTCAGTCCTGGCTCCACTCTGATTCTGGCTTCTGCAGACCCTGGGAGACAGCAGCGATGGCTCTGGGCCCCTGCCACCCACGTGGGCAACTCCGATTGAGTTCCTGCCTCCTGGCTTCTGCCTAGCCCAGCCAGGAATGAACCAGTGGATGGAAGATTCCCTCTCTGTCTCTGTCTCTCATTTCTGTCTATCTTTGTCTCTCTCTCCCTTGTCTCTTCAATAAATACAAATAAATACAAATTTTAAGTGGAAAACCCAAAACCGCATGGGGTCGTATGGGGACTTAGTCACCTGGCACTCCTTAGGCCCTCAGGGCGGGGTCTCGGCCGCAGTACACAGAGGAAGGACTTCTGTCCCCTCTTCTCCATCTCCGCCCCTCCCTCACCAGTCCCTGACCTCACAGTCCCTGACTGTGTCTGGGCCCGTTTTCCAGATGAGCAGGTTGAGACTCGGGTTAGACTCTATCACAGCCAGTAAGGGAGGCAGCCGGGATGAGCTCCGGGGTTTGCTGTCTGCAGAACACCCCCTGTGCCCCTGAATCTCACAGCTCACTCTGGGTTCTTAATGCTTTGACTTGGTGGATCTGGGAGCTGACGAAGAAAAGCCAGATCTTCGTGGCCCCTCTCAGTCTTTGGGGTGAGCTGAAGGGGCAGCCTGGCCCTGGAGAAATCCATCCTCCACCCTCCTTCCTGCCGTCCCAGCTGGCATCCCAGCAGCTCCACCTTGCAGTTGTATCTTCAGCACCTCCTCCATATCTAATTCGTCCTCCCGTGGGGCCGTGGCTAATTAGCCTTTGATTATCACAAACAGAGAGGCAGGGACCAGGGACAGGAATCGGGCCCTCTCTGCTCTCATCCCCTGTGTGAAACCAAGGCAAAGCCCATGTGTTCTGGAAGCAGCAGGGGGAGGGTTTGAAAACATCACAGGCAGGACCCCTGCCCCGCCGCCACCCGGTCCCCACTTGGGGTGGAGCAGATGCTGATCCGGTCTCCTCTGGGCGCCCCCGCCCCTGCCCCCGCCCCCAGGGTGGTTTGCCCCCCTCTACGGAAGCCCCCTGGCCACGTTCACAGTGTCACAGCTCTCCAGGAAGTGACTTGCATTGTCCCTGGGCCAGAGACAGTCAGCATCCTTTGGGGCGGCACAGAAAGTAGGACATTCAAAACCCGGATTTCCCAGTGTGCTCTTGGCAGACACAAAGGTCTCTTCCTCTCTCCCTCTGTCTGTGAATGGGAGAAAAGCTTTTGAGAGATGAAACACCTCCAAGTCACATTTGTGTCACTGGTGCAAGCCAGAGCTGCTAGTTCATTCAGCAAACAATCCCTCTCCACCCAGAGCCCAGGCTGTCTTCTCCACGGTCCAGGACTGCACTTGCCGACCTCCTGGATGGTATCCCTCTGTGTGGTGGGGCTGCCCTGGCCTCTCCTGGATGCTGGTCACGTTCCCCTCCCCCAGGACAACCAAGAATGACTCCAAACATCAGATGTCCCGTACAGGTCAAAATTGACTCTAGGGGACCGTGTGTGGCGCAGCCCCCACTTCTTCTCTCTCTTCCAGCCTTCGGCTTCCTCCTCTCTCGGGTTTGCCAGCGAGGTGAGGCGCACGCTCACCGGAGGGTCTTCCTCACACTTCCGCTCCTTCTTCCTGAAATGCTACCGCCCCCACATCCACGCAGCCTGCTCACTCCTGCCCCGAGTGTTCTTGCTGAGAGCCCTTACCGCCCCAGCTGCTCGCCCACGTTGACTGCCCTGCTAACCCCTGCACCCGGCAGCATCCTCGCACCCCCCACCCCCGCCTTGTGCCCACTCTCTTCTGCCCTGCCCTGCGCCTGATCGGTCTTCCACCCTTGTCCCTGTTCCAGAGGGCTTTGTCTGTGCTGCTCAGGCGGTTGGTGGATACTTCAACATTCATCCTGCGCCTGCTGTGTACCCGCGCCAGGCGCTGTGTGATCCTGGGCATGCTTGGGGAGCCTGGAAACGTGCTTCCGGCCCTGAAGGAGCTCAGAACCCTCCCTATCAGAGCCCTCTTCCCAGAGCTGGGATCAGTGCTGTCCCGGTGCTTAGGGAGGCAAGCTCCTGAAAGATCTTGGGGAGGGCAGAGCCACGGCAGCCTGGGGAGGTACGGGGCTGGGTTTGAAAGAAAGGCATGTCTCCCAAGCTGGCCCAGCCTAGCCCGCCCACCTCAGCCCTGCCCCTCCCAGACCCGTCCAGATCACCCCCATCCGCTGTGCTGAGCCCCTCCCAGCCTTTCTTGGACCCTGCACCGCTCAGCCCAGTCCCGCCCTGCTCGGCACCCCTACGTGGCT